GGGGGGTGGGGGTGGGGGGAGCAGCTGCTGAGGTGCTGGTTGTGTTTTGCTCCTGTGCCTGCTGCCTCTGTGGGCGGGACAGACCTGCACACACCGCACCTAGGTGCTGAGTGTCTGAGCCAGTCTTATCTGTCCCCAGCGAATGAGGCAGCTCCGCCACAGAGCTGAGTCAGCCTGTGATGGGCAAAGTCTTGATGGGGTGCGAAGATAGCGGGTTAAGTGGTGGTTACAGGGTTCGGCAGTCACGTGGCTAGAGGGGCGGTTTAGTACTTGCTCATGGAGCAGGGTCCGTGTGTGTGTGTGTGTGTGTGTGTGGGGGGGGGGGGTGTGGTGTGGGAGGATGGCCAGTGTGCTAATCCCTGCTGGGGTGGAGCATGTGCCCATGCTCGGCCTGAAGACATCAGGAGCAAGCTGGCCTCAAACTTGCAGCAAGCCTCCTACTTCTGCCTCTCAAGCGCTGAGATTACAAGCATGAGCCGCTTTGGCTGGCTCTGTGGTTTTCATCTCATTCACGACCCCTCCCTGGTGTGGGCTTTTGCACAGACCTGCACAACTTCCCTCTGTGCCCATAAGGCCGGGAAAAGGCCCTCACGACCCGTCCAGGCTTCCTCCCCTGTGCTCTCTGCTTGTTTTGTTTTTCTGAGACAGGGTTTCTCAGTGTAGCTTTGGAGCCTGTCCTGGCACTCGCTCTGGCCTCGATCTCACAGAGATCCGCCTGCCTCTGCCTCCAGAGCGCTGGGATTAAAGGCGTCAGCCCGGCCCCCTGTGCTCTCTGAACCTAGCCCAAACCTCTTCACTCTTAAGAGCGCATCCTGGTCAGAGGTTGCCCAGTGCTCTGCAGTTCCCTACACTTTTGCTGGGGGTATCCCTAAGGTCTAATTCCTGGTCCTTTAAGCCTGCCTAGGAAGGGTTTCCTTAACAGATCGGTTTGTTTCTGCTCAGGCTGGTCTCAAACCATTCTCCTGCCTCAGGCTCTCAAATGCTAGTATGAATGAGGCCACTAACCCCCTTGTTTTTAAACAAGTGTGTGTGAAGGTCAGAAGAAACTTGTGTGAGTCAGTTCCCTCCTTCCAATATACAAGTCCCAGGGATTGAATTTAGGTCACCTGGCTTGCTAGCAAGTGTGGTTACCCACTGAACTACCTCAATGGTCCAGACACTCATCTCTCTTCTCTCTGGAGACAGGATCTCACTGTGCAGCCCTGTCTGGACTCAAAACTTGTATTGGTTCACCTGCATGCTGGAATTACAGCCTTATGTACTGTGTTGCATTTTGTTAGTCTCTATAGAAACCTTTGCTCACATTGCACAGGGCCCTACAGGAGCCATGTTTTTTGAATGGATACATAGCTCGTTGCCTGTCTTCTATGGTGTGGGGTTGCGGAACATAGACCAGTCACCCCATGGTCTGCTGTTGCTCAGAGCGTGGTTTTAGCAGTTGGGCTTTGTATCTGAGGGCTAGATGGCACACCTACCTACATGTGACATGCTGACGTCACCCTGTAGGGCCAGCTGTACCTGTCTTCTTGTAGCACACACTGCCATATCCTAGCAACTATATGATGAGAGCCCCTGGTTGGAAATGGATGTGTTGTCTCTCGGACAGGGTTAGTGTTTTCAGTTGTATCCAAGATCACTACATCCCTGAACCATTTCTAGAAACAAAGAATGGTCAAGGAGATGTGTGTTGGGTGTCCAAATGATAAAAAAACAGGTGATCAGTTTGATGTGTGACTCTGGGAAATAATAGTTCTAGTTGGTTAGTCATATGGGAATCTAGGTATTGCTGAGGCTGGCTTTTTTTTTTTTTTTTGTAGAGATAAGGTTTTACTATGTAGCCCAGGATGGCTTTGAACTCGCAATTTTCTTGTTTCCACATCAAGATGTCAAGGCAAATGGTGCAGCCCTGTAATCCTAGGAGTTGTGAGCCTGACGCAGGAGGATCCCAAGTTCAAGACTAGCATGGAGAAGAGGGAGGTGAAGACAAGTCAGCTGAGAGCTCCTAGGCCAACTACCCTGGAGTGTGGTGCAGGAGAAACAGGATGACAAGGGACCCTCCCTGCCTCAAACTAAGAGGGAATGAGAGAACTGCCCCACCCAAGGCCGCCTCCACACATGGGTGCCTCCCCCCTTCCAGGTACACACACAGAGGATATAGTCACAATGCTTGGGAAGTTGAGGCAGTGGACTGCTCTGAGTTAGATGCCAGGCTGGACTATACTGTGAGGCTGGTCTAGGCTATGGAGTGAGACCCTGTCTCTACAACCCCAAATAAAAAGAAATTAGGCTCAGTGACTTTAAGTAAGGACTTTTATCCTAGGGGAACTGGAGGGGGATGACAAAGGGGTAGAACTCAGGCTTCCTGGCACTGAAGGCAGGCAGCGAGAGGAATGCAGTGTTACGTGCTGGCCCTTTGATGGCTTTCCCGATCTCCTAGTGTGGGAACCTCAGCTCTTGTAGATCACAGAGGTCCCCATGTCTCAGGGTCCAGTTCATGAGGCCACTGGTTGGTGACATGGCAATCAGGGTATTCGGTGGGGCAGTTCCCCAAACATTCTGTCATTCTCCAGGCCTGCAGGCTGTGGCTGAGCTCCCCAAAGTCCTTGGGAAGTGGGGTGCTTGTGGGGTTCTCCCTTCTTCCCTGAAGCCCCCTCTCCTGGGCCTGTTTCCCGGAGGAGCTGGGTTCTTCCCCAGAACCCATGATTCATTCCTACTGGGGCCTTTTCACTTCTGCTTTGGGGCTAAAAATATAGGGACCTAGGAGTCCCTTTGAGCAGGCCTCCCTACACATTGCACAATGCTGCCCACGAGAGCTCTGCTGACGCAGGGACTAGCTGGGACCCGAACTGCTCCTAGGTTGTATGTGCTAAGGTCAGAGCTTACATTTCTGCACTTCTTCTTTTCTGGGCCAGGAAGCCCCTTCCTGTAGCCTCAGGTAACCCAACATTTTAGTTCCCCTTATGTACATATGGTAGAGGCAGGATTGGGGGAAGGTGGGTTTAAAAAAAGAATGCATACACCGGGATAGACCATCAGTGCCACACCCACCCAGGGCCAGGTGGGAGACAGAGGTAAGGGAGGGTCAGAGCCCTTGGAACAGAGGCGGGGGTGGGGTGTATGTCTTCAGAGGCCCAGGTGGGAGGTCCAGCCAAGGACAGAGAGCACCTGGGTGCAGCAGAGGGGAGTGTGGGCCTATGTTGCCTACAAATCTCTGCTGCCCCCTGCTGGTTATAGCTACATCGCTATGGCATGACAAATCAAACAGGAGCCACCTGTTTTACCTTAGGCCATACTTCATTCTCTCTGCCCCACCAAGACGTCAGATGCTGCCCCCAGGGCCAGCTGAGGCTGCAGTCGTCTTGCCTGTGACCTTGTTGGCACAGTCCAGCAGGGCAGTATGAATGTCCTTGGCGCAGGTAATCTGGGCTTTGATGACAGCCAGGTACTGAGGATAGGGCAAGCTGTCTGGCTGAACCGCATCTGGCTTGGTGGCCGTGGGCACCAGTGTCGGAGAATGCTTGGCACTGTCACAGCTCTGTGAAAGGCACTCGTGAGCCAGGCGCTGTGGGAAGGCAGGCAAGAGAACAGCAAGAGCATCATTTGTGGGGAGCTGCAACCACCCCCACCACTCAGCCTGGGGCTAACCTGATGACGGGCTTTGGGGCTGCACAGTCAGTGTCTGGTCTTGCCAGCCTCTTGCTGGACCATCTAGGACATGTGGCTCCTTCTCACTGAGCCTCAGTCACTAAGTGTTTTTGCTGTTGAGTCACAGACTTGCTGGGTAGACAAGGCTGGCCTCAAACCTTTCACCCTTCTACTTTATCAAGACAGCTGGGATTACAAGTATACACAACCGGCTGGTGGACAGATGGCTCTGTAGGAAAGCCGCTTGCTGCCAAGCCAGAAGGACTGGGTTCCATTTCCCCAGGACTCACATAGTGGACGTTAAGAAAACAAAACAAAACTTCCAAAGGACGTCCATCCTCTGACCTCTGCCTGGCCCACAATAAAATGTAAGATTTTCAAAAAAAATCATCAAGTGTTAACACCATGCTCAGTTAGATCCTTAATGGGCTGAATGACCACCTGTCTTGTCTGGTGAGCAGGTAAAGGTGCCACACTGTTTTCAGTGCTGACTCCCTTGATGGCACCTGCACCCGGTGCTGTCCTCTCCCTTCCCCTAGGGGCAGGACTCTATCCTGGTTCCCTTTCAAGGCTGCCAGGCTGCCACTCTCCCCACTGCTCAGGTCCCTCCTCTACACTGAGAAGGCCTGTACATCTCCTTCCAGCCTCCCACCCTCTCCCCAAACTGCTCCTCCTTGTGTGTCCTTGACAGAGCTGACTCCCTTGATAGTAGACTTCCTAATCTAGCCAAAGTACATCCATCTTGAAACAGAACTCCATCTAACTGTTCTGTGTGCCACACTGCAGCGTCCTTCCCACGCTAGACAGTGCTTGCTGAGGCCAGCAGCAACCCTGATAAGAGCCAGGCACAGGGGTACATGCCTGTACTCCCAGCAACTGGGAGGTGGATCTGGCCAGCCCCCCCCCCCCCCCCACCGGCGCGGGG